TAGTGGAAGGTGTGCATTATAGGGGACCAAAGATTAGTGTTTCTTTTTTTTTTTTCTTTATTTTGTTTAAGTTATTCTCGTTTTTTTTTTCATTTTGTAATAAATGGTTTTGCGTTAACAAGTTGCGGCGTGTTTATTTACTGTTTGCTTACTTTACTTGGTTTTGCGTTACTTTACTGTTGCTCAACAACTGCACGACGTACGTGAACTATATCGCAGATGTTCTCATATTTATCTACCAACTTTGTTCCAAGCGATCAAAGTGTAAGTTGAACGGCGTAACAGCGAAACTGATCGATATTACGAGCTGCTAAATGTCACAGTTACCCCATTTATAAACATCTTTTGTAGACGGTTATTTTTAAGCAGTCGATGATGCAGTGGGTCAAACAAACTCAAAACAATCTCACGATTGGAATCAATTTCCCTCGCCAGGCTAAACAGTCCTATCATTTTAGTGACCAAGCTATACCTAGGGTTTCCTTGACCTAGCTCATCAGAGACGCGTTTTCCAGCCGGGACTCTCACGGTTTCTCCGGACAATTCCGCGAGAATAACAGGATTCGCCGAATGTCGATCTATTTCACAGCGGATAACACTCTGAACGGTGACATAAGTCTAATGGAGGAAAAATTTAATCGCGATCGATACACACAGCAACTGACAGCCTAGCCCGTGTCATTTCCCTTCGAGTCAAACGTTTTCGTGGCCATATGAAAATGTCTAAACACACGAAACAACGGTTCTGCTTGCCGGCGATCGATTTAATAATGTGTGCATTCGTGACCTAAACAGGTATAATTCAGCGAGTAATTGATCACCGCATTGTAATTACGGTCCTCATTGTTCCTTTCGAATCTGTGTGGTTTCAATTATTCGTACGGAGCGTGTGTTCAGGTCGGAAGTGTGCATGAACGTCGGTGTTTGCGACCGATCAGATTACGTTTTCACGAGATTTTACTGCTCGGGAATATGGTTCAAACGCGAGGATAATTTCTTCCTAGCCTATTACCTAGGGTAATTCGGTAGTCGTTGCACGAAATCATACGTTTTTAACTCGTCTGCTTCGAAGTTTCGTATAATGATGTTGTTGACCAGTTCTCTAGATTGTTTTGCGAGATTGAGACGGGTTTTCTTGAGAAGAAGAGGTATAATCGAGGATAATACGATCTAATGACTTTTGCACGTTTTATGCCATTTTCCTGCTCCTTTCTGTGCTTTCTTCGCTTCCGTTCTATGCTTTCTTTATGTTATTTCGAATTTTCTAATAATTCGTTAGTTTACTCATATCTGTGATCTATTTTCCACATTTTCCTAATCGAAACGAAGTTCAGAATTTTTACGGATTCAAATGAAAATGGCTATATAGTGGATTTTATTTCTAACGTGGTCAGCTGTTTCCGAATTTTGGAATATATGAAATACTCAAATGGGAAACATTTTAATGATCTTTCATAGTAAACACATGTTTATTCGAGTACAAAAGAGTCGTGAATAAAGACTCTTGCTCGTTATTTTATCTAGCTTTCTTTTTCTTTCTAGAAATTGGACACAGAATGTATCTAGTTCTGAGGTTCCAACTGTTGTAGTAAAAACTAAATAATAATAAATTATTTAAACTAATAAATAAAATAAACATTACATTCTAGCGATGTGGGGACGATTCCTTCCCCTTCGTTTTGTCTTTTGCCTCCTATTTTCTGATATCTTGGGACCTGCGTAGACCTAAACTGGCAAGTTATAACCGTTCGCTCGTTTAATAAAGATCTATACAGTTTTTCCATCGTTTTCACTGACTACTATTTCTTTGCATTATAATCCCTTAACACTAACGAATTTCTCGAAGGTATCGCATCATGATAATTGTTTGCACGCGAAATAGATATATCGAGCCGAAATGATTACACGCCGTCGCGTTAATTACCATAATTTAGAGCAGCGGAGCTATTTCGGAGAGTGCAGCTATCTTGAGATACACTACAGGCTGTATATATTTAACCAACTTTGGGGCACGATTAATTACCCGATTACGAAGTTCGTCCCTCGACTGGAAATGACGATTCCATAGTCCGGATGTCACGAGATATGGGAAAAAATGTAGGATTCCGAAGCGAAGATTGAATTGATTGCGTAGGAAGTTAAGACGGGTTAATTCGACTATTGTGCGATTAATTAGGTTAAGCTTTTGAAGTTGGAAACGATTCCTATCTGATGGATTATTCGCCCTCCAAGTGATTTTTCACTTCTGCAATCTCTGCACTTTGCGAATAATTCGTAGTTTACGAATTATTTAGGTATGCTTTAATTTCTGTCGCGTGATTGAAAGAAGATTCAACATAACATGGTACGGGTTTCGTGATCACTGGTGATTACGGAGTTGCAGGTTTTAGGATATTATGGTATATCGAGTCACTTACTTGGATCACATTGTAATTCTTAATTAGGTTTTATTTTATTTTTAATTTTTATTCTTTTATTTTATCTCAATAATTGAGGTTCGAAAGACAAAGATGTAGCGAATGTTGGGTCTCCTTATTCCAAGATGACGTAGGATGATATACATAATCTAAGACAAATCCTGTGGCTCCTAGATGCTCTCTAATTGCTCGTCTATTATTCTTTTATTCCACATATATATGTAGAATCCGTTCGCAGATGTTAACTGTCGATCCTATGTACAGAATACCTAGTGCCGTTTTACTCCTCTCGACGAGTCAATTTATATAGATTTTATCCAGTGACACTCTGTTTTGTTACATTACAGATGTACAATCTGTTAAGGGAATGGGTAATAAAGTGCTGTGTACACGAACGTTTTGCTAGCTGCATTTGAAGATAGAGTTCCTCTATTTGTCGTCAGTTGGTCATAACATGTCTATTACATAGTCTTTTACGCAGTGTTTTATGGAATCCTTCTACCAATCGACGCATAATTCGTCTTGGTTCTATTTGGATAATAGTGTCCAATACTGACATATTTCTTGTTGATTTAACATTCGTCCAAGATGGAGTTTATCTTAAAAGATTGATCTTTAGAAGAGCTAGTTCTTAGAACTCGGGTTCCAGAACCTAGGGCTGGATAGGGTTCATAGAAACAAAGATAAGGATTCATGACCCTGACGAATTCTGTCAATTCTGCCTTCGTGATGTGAAAACTTGACGAGTTAAAATGTAGCCTTCCTCTTTTAATAAAAATGTTCTCGGGAGGCATAGAGTGTAGTGCATATTTCCCATGTGACCTAATAATCTTTATCTTCCGAGATCCAAACTGGTACAAAGTCATGTGTGAATAGGTTCTTGGTATAACTTCCAGGTTAGAAAACTGTTTTTATCGGTAGATTATAGTACTATAGTAAATAGCTCGGGGCTAAAAATAAGGCTGGGTATGGTTATAAATGCCTTTTCGCCGGAAGACTGCATGAATTGCAAAACTTGGATACAGGTGTAGCGAACGTTCCAGTTCGGTGGCTGTCTAAATGTCTCAATAATAAAACGGTTAGAATCGATACGTAATGCATGCATATGAATTGGTTTGCTTATAAATAAGCCCCTTTTCCATGACCCGGCTGTTATTGCCTCATAATGAATGCCGCGACGTAAGTAACACGTTTGGCGTCTCATGAATTTCCAATGACGATGATTCGCCACAAAATGCAGGTCGCGATTAAATCGAACGTACCCACGTTCTCCTCTATCTTGGCGTTATTGGACTTTTATACCATCCCTCGTTAAAATTATTTTGCACAATTCCAGCACTGAGTCTTATTATTCGCATTCGAGTCTCGAATTTGAGGTTAGATTCGTTAGTTTCAGCTTTTCTCGAATATTTCACTAGAAGTGTAGAATTTTTCGTGTATATTTCTTTCTCATTTTATAATTATTTGTTTGAGAACCTCGTAGAAAGTAACGATATTACAATTTATAATAATTAGTTACTGTTAGGGAGCAATAATGAAGTAATGGTCTATTTCTTAAAGTATATTCTATTCGTTCTTCCATTCAAAGCTTTATTTTGAAGATATTTGTACAATTAAGATTTAGGTAAAGATATAGTAAAAATTTAGGATTATTTCTTTGTGAGTTATTCTTCCTTTTTAAAAATTATTTCATATTACACCAGCTTGGATATCAGCCTTAGCGATCGACCCTCTGTGAATTAGTTTTCACTAGGAAATGAAAAATGAAAAATTTATCATTTCATATGGACTGAATCTATAGACATTGTCTTTTTTCATATTTATAATTACTTAGGTGTTTTACACCTATACATAATGTTAGTTTCGAGAAGTTAAAAAAATGTCGTATGATTTTTACCTTCACGTACAACAGTGACTCGAAAGTGAGGAGCGCAGCGATGTTAGTTTCGCTTTAAAGTTGAAATTAGCAGTGGAAATCAGATGGTCGTAATAAGTCAAACAGTAACCAGAATGTCACGGAACATCGAATAGCAAGTAGAACATCTCTCGGAAATTTCAACATGAACAGTATCTCTGACTGCTAGACTTCACTTCGTGAAACGTGGCAACTTGTTAGACCTTATAAACTTTGCGTGCAAACATTGTTTCAAATAATGTTTTTCTCCTATTTTAGTTGTTCTCAGATTAACAACAAGATATTCTCGCGGACATTTTTCTTCCTTTTTCTTATTTAGTCTCAAATTACTATGTTACTTATTGCACTTTTATATTTAACTTTCAATATATATGTAATTTTCAATTATTATTCGAACGACATTAGCTTTTTTTTTTTTAAAGAAAATGGTGGTATTCCGTGTCATTATATGTAATAAAAGTAAGAATAAGATGCATTAATTGGACCAATATTAAAATTCGATTCGTGCTATGTCTGCAACGAAACTATAAAAATATTTATTTTATAATATATAAGAACAAATAGTGTCACCAATGTTTATATTATCCATCGCATTGATCAATATGTGTTAATATCGTAAATATCGGATAAAGAATAAGGAGCTAATATAAAATTTTCTTTTTTTCCAGGTTCATGGTGGTATTGGTGTGCCTCATATTTAGTGTTTTGTCAACGATAGACCAGTACAGTAACTTCGCAAACGAAACCCTCTTTTGGATGGTGAGTGTCTTCTCTTTAGATTCAACGATAATCATCAACTACCATTAACACTAGGACTGCTAAACTTGGTTTGAACTCTTTACTTCTAAATTTACTAAACACGTATCATCGTTTTTGTTAAAATTAATATCGACTTCAATTCGAATAGAAATTTAATTAATCAGATATACCTACTCGTTTCCGCTATCTGGTTTTAATTATTATTCGTGTGCACTACATCCCGGTAGTTCTAGTGTTAATTTTAAATCCTTCAAATTACATAAAAATCATCGTTTGTCACCCACGCAATATTTTCTATCATTGCTCCTTTTACTTGCCAAATTTCAAATACTCCCAAAAGACAAAAGAAGAAAAGAAATTTTCCAAAATGTAGAATTATTTCAATTCTGGATTCAGGGTTAGAAGGAAAGCAATACTCCGCGCAGTGGCGTTTAACAGCATAAAATACACGATTTCCGAGCATCTCTTTCATTACGCGATTCGTGAAAAGAGAGCTTGACGTATCCCTGTCGTTTGTTTGCGCGTCAAACTCTCCTGGACATAGCTCGGAATCACAGGCGCTTAAACACGTCATGAGCCACCGCAAACAAAGCGACGTTTTGCGAGTAATTCGAGCGTAGGTTGATTAAGATAAGCAGGCTTAATTAATTATACCGGGCGCGGACGGAAAGTCAGGCTAGAAGTCCGACGACTTTCGAGAGGGAAAATTCCGAACGCGGAAGGGTCGCCTGTTCCCGGCGAACAGCCACTCGTGAAATCATGGAGAACGATCTCCTTTAGCCGATATATCTTTCAGGGAAGCGTTTAACGTTCCGTTCGAGCCTTTCAGGGCTTTCACGAAGTTCTCGAGAAGGAAACTGCATGGCTTTTCTTTACCTAGAGAGCGCTCGTTAACTATAGCCTCGTTGAAAGATAGCGTCAGCTCAAGGTCGTTCAGCCGGTTCCTCCACTCTGTCGTTTATTTCCCGTTCGTCGTTGAATTGGCCACTCAAAACTATTCAGGGGCGTATCCTATCGTGGTGTACCCCTGTGTCGCTTTGTCTTCCGCGCTTTCCTTTCTCGAGTTTGTTTCGCCTCTCTGCGTGCCTCGGCAAGCATGAAAGGAAAGCAAAGTAGCGAAACTATTACGAATTAGGTGAGAGAGAGATACTAGAATATGGAGATGAATGTTTGCAGAGTAGGAAAGGAGGAAGAAATGAATCATATGGCTAGATTGGATTGTATGGAATAGATGGAACGGTTTTCTCAGTGATCAATCTTTATTAGACCGAGGCTCGTGTCACTATGCTGCTCTTACTGCCGCTTTTTCATTGCGTTTTTTGAGAATTGAGGGAAGAAGTCATGTCATTTATTCGGATGAGTTGAATTTATGGATACTTTATTCGGATCGAGCTTTCTTTGGGGAAACCTGCGACCGAAAGATTAATTTATTTTAACAGTCAGGCTGCATGCGAGATATGTATTTGGGATAAATGTTGACGTAATTGGACGATTATGAATTATCAATTTTGGCCTTCTGCGATTACTTTTTCAATGTACCTGTAATCCCAAAATTGCTGTTTTTATGAAGATCAATGAGAGGAGCTTGCATCGCAAACAACGACGGGATTAAGAAGATGAAGTCGTAATCCACATCCGCGATGAGCATATGACAAGAACGAAGCCCCGTGCTAAGAGCCGAAAAGTGATGATCTTTTTTAATGCAATTTCTAATGTACAGTGTATACCCGAGGGAGCAAAAATCTTTAATTCAGTTGTACCTCACAAAGGTTACACGAATTTTTCTATCGCGTACTATTTGCGTTTGTTACCGAAACGTTTCGTCATTCGATATTCGAATATTTTGATTCAAGTGCAATTAATGTCTTTCCTGGCAAATTTTGGACACTTCGTTCGTTCTTCCCGCGTTTTTAAAAAGTTCGAAATATCAATCTTTTTTCAATTAATTTGTTAAATTAATCTGAAATAAAATCAGGATTCTTTCCCCGTCATTAACGAATTCTAAATACGAAATCTCTTCAGAATAATTTTTTAAATTAAATGTAGGTCGGATTTACGTGTTTCCTAAATAAATTTTTACTGCTACTTGCTCCTTTTATGTCTTTTAATTCAAAACATATTTTCTAAAATAATTTTTTAAATTAAATTTAAATAAAATTAATGATTTTCTCCTAATAAATTTTAAAAAACTTTGTTTGCTTATTGCATTCGAAACCATTGCACGAATGTAATGTGTCCTCTTACGCGTTTACTCGAAACGGTTTTTCGTAAGTGATCATAAATATTATCCAGGCTGAAAGCCTTCCTTCGTTTAGTTTAGGATAAATATTATCAAAGCAAGGAGGGTTTGGAATCGTTCTGATAAAAGTGCAGTGAGTATGGTTTTTAACGAAACTGGGCCCAGAGCAGGAGAGGTCGGTGGTACAGGTCGAAATGTTAAATTGAAGAATGGCAATGATTATGCTTGTTTAGTGTGTAAACAACGAACGAGGTTTTAAATTCTTCGAACAATAGCACGCGAACGAGTTGATTTTCCTCTTGTGTTATTCCATTTGAATAGAAATTTTTGAACTCGGACGGATCTGAAAAACACGCGTCATGATTCCATTTTCAATCGCCGATCTATTCATTATTGGGTTTGACTTTAATTTTAAATTGGTTGTTTCCGATTTTATGCTCCCATGACTTTTTAATCTCAACGTAACTATAACATCGTGGACGTAATTTACCTTTTATGAATTTTTTAATAACTTCACTCGATATTCCATGTGTACTCGAATAGTGATTTTATCCTATTATGCTTCTATGCTATGTATCTATATTATGCTTCTGTGCTGTTGATGTAATTTACCTATTTGGTATCCTTTGTATTTTGCGACAGTGGTTGTTTTTCGATAGATGAAATATTATAAGTGTAGTTAAAATGGCAAAGTCGGTAAATCGCATTGGAAGTTTCAGTTTTCATAGAAACCAAGTGTATGTCAACATACAAAAGGCTTTTCATTTATTTCATTTGTGGGAATATCAAATTTTAAGAGAATATTTTTAAGCCCGTGGTGTTCTATAAAAAACAGACCCATAGATCTGTGGAAATTTCAGGAAAATCCTTCATTTTTGTTTTTCAATAAAATCGAATTTTTCGTAATTATTCTTTACGTTATAGGTAATTGTGCAATATCGTAGAATCTCTGTTGTTTTATTTATATGAAATTAATCAAATTAATCAAATTCATTGCTCTTCCACAAACATTTCCATCCACTGTCCATTATCAATCAAACCCGCAAAAAGATTACACACGACACTTTGAAATGCCATAAAGTGCTACCAGAGAAAAATATTCCACCGCAGTATCTGTTCCATCAAGAATAAGGATTATTTACTCTCTATATTCCAAATTCATTTTTATCTAAATCGTCGCTTCCAAAATCCTCCTCGAAAAAAGCGAGCCACGTCACTCCGCTGAATCAATACACCAAAAATCAATACTCGCGAAACACTCTACCAAAAAAAGTCGGGGAGAAAACAAAATAAAAAGAAAGAGACAGATAAAGGAAAACAAGAAAAAAATGCACAATTTCAATCGTAGATCACTCGAAAGCTCCATTTTCGCGAGAACCTTCGTCCGCAATGAATCACCGAACCAATACACGCGAACAGGAATTTTCCAAATTGCCTGGAATTAAATGCATTTCGCGCTCCAAAATTCGTTCCTTTCGTTCGAATCAAATTTCCGCGCGAGGCTTTCCGCTGTAACTGAAATTCCGACAAGTTTTCGAGGGTTGCACCCCGATGCTGGGTGCAGGGGTGTCACGCGTATCCTCGTAAGTTATTATGCAAATATCAAGAAATAAGGGGGGATTCCGGGGCTGCTCGAAGGGATTGTCCGCGCGAGCCCACCCCAATGAAACGGATCTTCCATGTACGCCTGTCCATAGCCATTGTCAAGCGGACCATAGATCCTGCTTATGTACTTCGGGTACACACCATAAAAAGCTTTTTACGCGCATATTACGTGCCTTGACAAGTTGCCGTCTTCGCCCTAATGACAAGCCACCCCTCCGGCTTCCGGCTTCCTAAAAATAGACGTGACTCGACAGTTTGGTGTCAAAAGATTTTTGGTATCCGTCTCCTTTTTTTCATTTTTTTTCTTTTTTCCCTATTCTTTGTCTTCCCTTTCTCATTTCTTAAGTGCATGTGTTATATAATTATTAATATGTTTGGAGATTGTTAAGAATTTGGTTTTCCAGAAAATAGATACTTATAAGGAGAGTGCAAGTCCTTCAGGTCATAGATTTACTTGAAACTTTACAAGTTTGTAGCTTTAGTCATCTAGTTCAAGAAAATATATCATTATAAGGGCAACTACTCGATAGTTTTCGAGATATTTATGATTAGAGTTTTATTATTGCCTTAATTATAGATTTATTTCGAATATTTGTCAAGTGCCGTTGTGGCCTAATGGCCATATTATATTTGGTGACACTTGATAACTATTGATAACTATTAACTAATTAAGAATAATAAACTTTCAATTATAAATATTTAAAAAACTATCGAGTAGTTGCCCTTATAATGGTACATTCCTTTGAACTGGATGACTAAATCTACAAACCTGCAAAGTTTCAACTAAATCAATGACCTGAAGGACTTGCATTCTCCTTGTTAGAGAAACTAAGTGGATTATTAATTGATGTACAAATATATATGTTGCTTTATTATTTTAATTATTGTTTCTTAATTCTAATTTTCTCGTACTGATCATTTATTATTGTAAAATCTGTAGTATTGTCTACATTTTTTAGTACCATTTGTATTTGATTTTCTTGTCTTTTATTTAATTTTTTTATTTTTATTTAGAAAAGTTCGAAATTCTGATTTCTTATCTATAAAATACCTCCTCCAGTAACTACTTCAATGAGTTTTATATTTCTTTTGTATTTAAGGTTACTCGGTTTCCAAATTTACAAATCTTGTATTCTTTTTGGGACCAAAAGTACTT